ACTGAGGGACACTACAGCCTGATACAGTCAGACACTGAGGGACACTATAGCCTGATACAGTCAGACACTGTGCAGGAGACTGAGGGACACTACAGCCTGATACAGTCAGACACTGTGCAGGAGACTGAGGGACACTACAGCCTGATACAGTCAGACACTGTGCAGGAGACTGAGGGACACTATAGCCTGATACAGTCAGACACTGAGGGAGATTACAACTTGATACAGTCAGACACTGAGGGACACTACAGCCTGATACAGTCAGACACTGAGGGACACTACAGTCTGATGCAGCCAGACACTGTGGGCACAGTACAGCCTGATACAGTCAGACACTGAGGGACACTACAGTCTGATACAGTCAGACACTGTGGGCACAGTACAGCCTGGTACAGTCAGACACTGTGGGCACAGTACAGCCTGATACAGTCAGACACTGTGGGCACAGTAAAATCAACACTGTCCAACCAGGTACAGTTAGAAACACCGAGGGACAGTGCAGTCCAATACATAAACAGAAGCAACATAAAGCAAATGCTGGTGATCTGAAATAAAAACAGCTCCTCATTTCCCTTTTGGGCACCTCACAGCCTTCAGGATTATCCTCCATTTTGCAGACAGCCCTTTACTCCACTCCCCACTCCCCACTCCCCACCCACTCCCTAATCCCAGTGAACTGTCTTTTTGTAAGTTGGACACTTTGCAAGGTGGTTACAGTCCAGTTGAAGTATGCAGGTTAGAGCAGATTAGTACATAGCTACGATAAAGGATGGGACAGTCGGGCAGTCTGTGGGACACTACAGTCTGAAATAGCTCAGCACTGAGTTACTGGGCTTTAACTCCCAAACTGAGTTTACAGGAAGTGACATTGGATGAAAGTCAGAGTTGACACAACAGTCTTCATGATATTAAACCGTTAGACTTTATGCACACCGTCCCCTTTCTTCTGCCAGAATCGTCCTCCAGACATCCGGCTCCAAGCTCCGGGAATCAGCCCCTCCTCCGGCTCCTCCTCTGGTTCCTTCTCCGGCTCCTCCTCCAGTTTGGGTAAAGGAGAGGATCAGCAACAGTCCCTTTACCAAGCTCTTCCCTCAGGACCTGGAGTCAATTTGTCTGTCAGCTGATTATCATTTGGAGTCAGATTCTTGGCCCTGTCTTTCCCTCAGAGAAACAGAAGAGCTTCCCCAGAACATCCCCGAGATTATTCTCAGTCCCTTGGCTGAATCTTATCATGGCTGATGGTCTGGAATAGAGAGAGCAGGGGCTAGAGGGAGAGATTGAGAGAGCCTGGGGATAATGGGGGAGGTTGGGAAGGGTAAGGGTGGACTGGGGGAGGGGTAAATGGGAGAATGGAGAGTGAGATGGGTAAGGCTGAACTGGGGGTGGGAGTTTATGGGGAGTGGGTGGTGAGGGGCTGATGGCAATGGAGAGATCAGCAGTATACCCGCTGTGAAGTCTAGACTGTGTTCCTGCTCCACATTCAGGCTGGGGATCTAACTATTCAGTTTTCTTCCTCACACTACCCCTTTAAAGAGCAAGCACTGAGCAAACAAACCCCATCAGACTTTGTTGGGAGTGAAGGGGTTTTCCTTGGCTGGTTTGTTCTCCTGAGGGCTCCGGGTGTGTGGAATTTGTACAGTGTACGTGGAAACATTAACTTCAGCCAGAGCCTGTCTCCCCTACAGTAGCAGCTTCTCATTCCCTCAGTGATGGGGACAGGGTCCAGACAACCTCCTTTAGTTATGATGCAGTTTATAAATCACCAGGAGGACGGAATTCCGTTAGATTCCAGAATCGAACTCCAAATCGGAGTGTTGCCAAGGTAACAACTTCCTCCAATTCACAATGGAAAACTCTGCTCACAGGCCAAGGTCTAATACAGGAATAGAATGTTCTATCTGATCACTTACTCCCAACATATTCCAGATGCTGTCATCCTCTCCACCTTTTCCCATAAACTTCATGGAGCAGCTCTGAGAGGGTAGGGAGCCTGCTGTAGGTACCCAGGGAGTATTACAAAGAAAGGAACCCACAGCCTACACTGGTAGAAAATCAGGAGGCTTCTCTCCAGAGGCCTGGCCAACATTCCTCACTGAACCACCCTGACAAAAACAAATTCTCTGGTCATTATCACATCGCTCTTTGTGGGATCTTACTGTGCACACACTAGCTGGCACTTTTTTACTTTACCTTATGTAGTGACTACACTCCAAAAGTACTTTGAGACATGCTAAGGTTATCAAAGGTGTTATATAAATGCAAGTGACTTTTGAACAGCACAGGCTTGAAACTGAGCTTGGCTCCAACCCAAGCTCTCAGTCAGAAACACAAAATTGTCCCAGTGCAGGAGGAGGCCATTTGGCCCGCTGAGTCTGTACTGGCTGTCTCATGAGCAAATCATTTAGTGCAGGTCACTGTTTCTGCTCTGATCCTATTCCCAGTTGCTCCTTGCTCAGACCAAAGGAGTGTGACTACCTTTGGACCATTACTGGTCTCCACGGAGATCACAGTACTACCTAGCACACAGACGGATACACACAAACACACTTGTCTTTCCTTGTACACCTGGCTCAATGTTCACATGGACCCCAATGTAGCCTGACCCTGTAACCATGTACACTCAGGCCCCATATACAGCCAGGACCCATATACACCCAGGACCCGTGTACACTCAAACCTACATATAGCCAGGCCCTAAATACAGCCAGACCTGTACACCCCAGGTCCCATATACAGCCAGGCCCTACATTCGCCTGGACCCATGCACATCCAGGCTCCATAAACATCTGGGCCCTGTACACCCAGGCCTCACATACACCCTGTCCCTCTGAATGTCTGGGGCCCAGGCATCCTGAATCATCAGCAAGAGCCTTGCACTCCCCCACCCCCCTCAACCTTCTGTCCCGGTTGGAGATGGAGTTTCTAGGAAACAAGACAAGGGCTCCGTTGTCAGCTGAGTGTACACAGTGCCCACTGCCTTTAATGAAAAGATCCCACAACAACGATCTGAAAGCAGGATAAGGGAATGTCCCCAAGCCCTGACTACCGCTCAACTCAAACTGCAAAAGCTGGTTTTCTGACACTGTCACACCACTATTCCTGGAAGGTTGCCACGTACAAACTCACTGCTGCATTTTCTACATTGTTAAGATAAACAGGAATGTAAAATTCAATCGGCATATAAATAGTAACAAGAGAAATGGGGCCGATAAGGGACATCACATACGGGATGAGATTCCGAAAGCAAAGTTTAAGGGGCTAGGAAAGGGATGGAAAGCAGGGAGTTCGACAGCAGTAATCCTGGGATCAATCCCATCACCACATGCTCATTAGTCCGAAACCTGGAAGAGTGAACCAGCACCAAAATGGAGAAGTTGAAGCAGGAAGGGCTTGAGGTTTATGGGGCTTTGAGACTAGTTCAGAAGCAGGTGGGACTTACACAAGGTGAATGGTTACACCTTTAAAAGATCAGGAGGAATTATTCTATACCGAAGTGGTAAGTCATCATTCTGTGACCAGGAATCAAACGGGGCCTCAGCAATGAGAGCACGGAATCCTAACGGCCAGGCCAGCAGGGAAGTTAAGACCAGGAGAGATATCCACACAGGTGGATTTTCAGCTATTTGAGAGAGATTCCCCTTGTGTCCTGTTAGGGAGGTAGCAGCCTGAGAGAGAATTCAGACAGGAGAAAAACAAAGCTGCTTTTGGGATGGCAGAAAGTTGTAAACAAAGTGAAAGGCAGCTAAAACAACTGCCAACATCAAATAGAGTTAAAATATGGAGCAAGAGTGCTTTTGTTAAAAAGGGAGAATTGACCTTAACATGAAGAATTTGCCATTTAAATTTGTAAATGATGTAGGTCATTCCGAAACCAGGCTCCTAATTCTAAACAAGGGAAACTGTGAAGGTACAGGGGACAAGCTGGCTGTAGTGGATTGGCAAAATACAACAGCTACTGTTTTAAAAAAAAAGGCATAGATTACAAGAAAGATACTCCGTTTAAGACGCAAAATCCAACTGGAAATGTGAGTCGACCAGAACTAACAAAGGACGTTTAGATCAAAGGAGGAGGCTTACAATTATACCAAACAAGTAGTAAGCCTGAGATCAGGAACAATTCGAAATACAGCAAGGAGGATCAAGAAACTAAGGAACAAAGAATAGAATATGAATGTAGGCTATAAAGAAATCTAACAAGTGACTGTAAAAGCTTCTATAATTTTATAACCAGTTTAGCAAAGACAAATGTGTGTCCATTGTAAGCGCAGGTGGAATAATTTATAATGGGAAATAGCAGTAAATAATTGCTTTGCATGTGTCCCCATGGAGAAAGGAATCTGCTAGAAATAATAGATTCAAGGAACTAGTATAAATGAGGAACTGAAAGAAAATTACATCTGTTAAAAAGAAACTTGAGATATTAATGGTCTAATGGGGCGCAAGTTGAAAACTCGTTGGATTGACCTACATCCCAGCATGTTGAAAGAGGTTGCTATAGAGAAAGAAATGCATTGATGACCGTCTTTCAAAATCCTATCGGTTCTGGAGTGGTGCTTGCAGAGCCGTTCATTATCATCATGGCCGACAATCCAACTCAGTAACCAGTTCCTGCTTTTCTCCCAGGTCCTTTGATCTGTTTAGCTCCAGCGCACAGAGTGCAAAAGCAAGGAAATGATGTTCATCAGATTATGTTCAAATCATGAGCAATGCTGTTTCAGCCTTAAATGGAGCATTGCAACCAATTCTGGACGCTGCACTTAAGAAAGGATGTTAGAGAGATTTATGAGACTTGTTCCAGGGATGACAGACTTCAGTTATGTGGACGGACCAGAGGCAGAGACATTGTTTCCCTTCGAGAAATGGTCAAAATCATGAAAGAGCAGATAGGGACAAACTGTTCCCATTGGTGGAAGGACTGAGAACCAGACGACACAGATTTAGATGACTGCTAGAAGTAGCGAGGAAAACATGCACAGAAACCTTTCACACAGCGCGTGGTTAGGATCGGGAGAATGTGGCCTGAGAGCATGGTGGAAGCAGTTTCCATTGTGGCTTTCACGAAGGAACTGGATAATGAGCTGAGCAGAAGGATTCCGCAAAACTGCAGGGAAAAAGGTGGAGAGGGGGACTTGGCGATCTGTTCTTGCAGTAGGCCAGCACGGACACAACGAGATACTGAATGGCCTTCTTTTGCACTGTAACAATTCTTTGATTCTATGATCACAACAGTGAGCACAGGTCAAAAAGTTACCCTAACCTGAATTAGGAGGAACATTTGTAACTGTGATACAGTGAGTGACACTTACTCTGAATAAATACTGACTGTATACAGTTTACCCAGTGAGTGACACTTACTCTGCTTGAGTTTGAGACATATAATTAGGGTATTTATTGCCAGATTACTGAATTAGGGTCAGTCAATTAGAAAAATAACGTTCGTAGTAATGTGCTTTTCTCACCAGCCCATCCACTAATGCCAGACCCAGGCCATGAGGCCCTCTTTCTAAGTCAACAGTGAAGACCTCATCACCAGGCTCGCTCTTCTGTCGAGTGCAGCTATCTGGAGAGAAAGAACAATGTGAAAGTCAATCTAACCACAGCTCATGGTGCAGTTCACTGCACTTCTTCTCAGCACTCGTCATGGAGCAGGATTGGAGACACTTACAAAGGGAAAGATGAAAGAAACAAAAATACACAGAAAAGCAGGGTAGAAAAGGCCAGATACTTCCAGGAACATACTCAGGGAGGGAGAAAAGATGGGAGGGGAAAGAGAGAGAGAGAGTAGTCACTGTGGGAATGCAGAAATGCAGCAGCCAACTGTCCAATGTCCAGGTCTTGCTGCATTTGGTTATTGTCAGCTTCAGTATCTGAGGAGTTGTGAATGGTGCTGACCACTGTATATTGACCGTATCAGTGTTACCACATGAACAGCAGCTAACACTTTGACGAAGAAAGAAAAAGAGATACAGAATGAAAGATGAAAAATGTGCATGGACCGAGACAAAGTGCAGAGAGTTGAGCAGAAAAGGATGAGAGGATCAAGGTACCTGCCCTTTCGCTTTCTTGATGTATCTGTGACCCTGCAGCTAGCTGAAACCTTTAGTTCCATTTAAGCAATAGCATGAACCAAGGTCCATCTAATGTCAGCTTGTCCAACTTCAATAATATTTCAATAACCTCTCTCACAACCCAGCCCAGCTCCAGCTTCAAATTCACAAAAACTCAGCCCAAATTCTTGGCAGTAGAAGAATAGAGATGTTCACTCAGCGTTTGTTTCTGGAATGCTCTGAATAGATAATCCCCATGATATTCTGGCAATAATGTACACCCCACCGTTTCAGAGCCTCTCATCCCTGTTGCTGTTGGCTTCTCTCCCAGGTTAAAAGCTCCAAGTTCCAGTTTGGAAAACTTTCAAGCGGCCAAATTCCTGATAATGATAGTTCTTGGGACAAGAGCACATTCCCAACATTGTAGACATCGAGGAGAAGTTCAGAGGTGAGCCTGACCCTGGCTGTACACTGTGTATTCAGCTGTTCCACATTCTCCTGATAGCAACTAGAGGTGCTACAGTCGAAAACATTCTCTCCCTTAATCAGCAGAGGTCTTTCACTTTGGATTTCTCAGCCTTTCTCACCAAGGCACTTTTCACTGATGGGTACAGTATTGAGGGATATCCCCTGAGCTCCAGTAGTGGGAGTACAGTGCTGGGGGATCCTCTGGGATCCAGTAAAGGAGGTCACCATAGAGTACAGTACTAGGAAGGTACCTCTGAGGTATAGTATTGGGTGATATGCCTGCAGTACAGTACTGGAAGGATGGGTACCTCCAGATGACAGAACTCGGTAAAGATTCTTTTCTATCTTGCCAAAGCATTTAGGACAGAGATAAGGAGGAACGTCTTTACTCAGAGGGTGGTGTATGTTTGGAACTCTCTGTCCCAGAGGACTGTGAAGCTCAGTCATTGAGTGGTTGAAGAGAGAGATTGATACTTTCCAGCCATGACTGAGTCATAGAGCCACAATGTCAAGCAAAGATGGGATGGTACAGGAACATGGCGTTGAGACTGTGGATCAGCCATGGTCTAGAATGGTGGCACAGGTTCGAGGGGTTGAATGGCCCCCTCCTGCTCCTACGAATCGATCCCTGCATGCATTCTGTACTCACCACATTATGGCTGTGATGGGTTAGATTTTTTGAAGGGCAGCAATTGCCATGTGCCAGGACCCGCTAGTGAAGGGTTAAAGAAAAGCACAGCAGCAGCTGAGCAGACCTCGACATTGACCCCACAGTCTCATATTGACTTGTTTTAAGGTTAATGTGTGACCAAGTGTCAGGTGGGTTTTGTTGACAAATAGTTTGTGTGAGCCAGATTCTGCATATCCCGTGAAGGTACTTTCTGTATATATTTTTGCTTCATTTGCAAGTGAGGAAGATTGAGTTTAGCCTCATAGTTTGATTGTGTGTTGAGTCAGTGGATTGCAGACAGTACAGAGACAGGCAGCAAGCTAACAGCAGAGTTTAGGGCAGGGTCCAGGAACTGGAACATTCCTGATCACCTGCTGCTTCAGCTTGTCCGTGAAGCCTATCCTTGTGGAATACCCAGCGGGCTATCACATATGACACTGGAATACAAGCATGGGCACGTGGGAACGGCACTGAGAGGGCATTGACTAGGCAGACCCTACTGCAAGAGACTGCACCTCCAGCTGAGGTGGTGAGTCTCATGTATCATTCTGCTTATTATTACAGTTCCTTCTTACAGAGAGTGGCCAGTGTGCGTCAGTGGTTAAGGAAAAGCTATATGTTCCTCCTCAAAAGGCCACATTCCAAAAACTGCTCCCTCCATTGACTGACAGAACAGGCTGGAAGCCTCTCATTGTTCTCATTTCTCATCAATCCACTTGTGGATCACGGGTGTCACTGGACAGGCCAAAATTTATTGCTCATCCTTTGAAAAGGCAGTAGTGGGCTGCCTTCTTGAACTGCTGCAGTGCATGTGCTGTAGGTTGACCCACAATGCCCTTAGAGAGGGAATTCCAGGATTTTGACCCAGCGACACTGAACGAACAGCCATATATTTTGAAGTCAGGGTGGTGAGTGGCTTGGTTGGGAACTGACAGGTGATGGTGTTCCAATGTATCTGCTGACACTGTCCTTCCAGATGGTAGTGGTCACAGGTCTGTAAGGTGCTGTCTGAGAATCTTTGGTGAATTTCCGCAGTACATCCCTGTAGATAGTACACACTGCTGCTACTGAGCGTTGGTGGTGGAGGTAGTGGATGCTTGTGATGTGGTACCAATCAAGTGGGCTGCTTTGTCTTCAATGGTGTTGAGCTTCTTGAGTGTTGTTGGAGCTGCACCCATCCAGCTAAGTGGGGCGTATTCCATCACACTCCTGACTTGTGCCTTGTAGATGGTGGACAGATGTTTGAGAGACACGGGGTGAGTTACTCACCATCAAATTTCCAGCCTGTAACCTGCTCCTGTAGTCACTGTATTTAAATGGTTAGTACAGTTGAGTTTCTGGTCAATGGTAACCCCCAGGAATGTGACAGTGGGAGATGCAGCAACGGTAATGCCTTTGAACGTCAAAGGGCACAGTTAGATTCTCTCTTATAGGAGATGGTCATTGCCTGGCACTTGTGTGGCACAAATGTTACTTGTCACTTTTCAGCCCAACCTGAAACATATTGTATGTGTTTGAACCCAAACCAGATAAATTGACATCAGTGTTACTGTTAACACTCACACAGAGCTCACTCCACCTTCATGGATTCGGAAGCATTAAAGCATACCCGGGAGTCCATAAGACTATGGACCTTAAGACTATAAGATACAGGTGCAGAATTAGGCAATTTGGCCCACAGAGTCTGCTCCGCCATTCGAACATGGCTGATATGTTTCTCAACCCCATTCTCCTGCCTTCTCCCAATAACCCTTGATCACTTACTCATCAAGAACCTATCTACCTTAGTCATAAAGACACTCAGTGACTTGGCCTCCACAGCCCATGAGTTCCACAGATTCATCAACCTCCAGCTGAAGAAATTCTTCCTCATCTCAGTTCAAAAGGGTTGTCCCTTCACTCTGAGGCTGTGCCCTCAGGTCCTAGTCTCTCCTACTAGGAGAAACATCTTCTCCATGTCTATTCAATCCAGGCCTCTGAGTATCAATACAGTGTGAAGCTGGAGGAACGCAGCAGGTCAGGCAGCAGAGGAGCAGGCAAATCAACATTTCGGGTCAGGACCCTTCATCAGGAAGAGTCTCACCTGATGGAAGGGTCCCGACCCAAAACGTCAGCTTTCCTGCTCCTCTGATGCTGCCTCACCTGCTGCATTCCTTCAGCTCCGCACTGTATTGATTCTGACTCCAACATCTGCAGTTCTTGCTTTCTATGAGGCCTCTCTGCATTCTGTAAGTTTGAATCAGATCCCCCCTCATCCTTCTAAACTCCATCGAGTACAGACGCAGAGTTCTCAACCGCTCCTTATATGACCAGCCCTTCATCCCTGAATCATTCTTATAAACCTCCTCTGGAACCCCTTCAAGGCCAGCACATCCTTCCTCAGATACCAGGGCCCAATTCACAAAAGTCAATTCCCTGTGGGCAGTGGTCATGGGAATTAGAGTTTTACAGCATGTTCCATTGCCAGGCCTACACCCAGCTCTCTGAAGTAGGGGCACCATTACCCTCACTTTTCCTGTCCTTTTTCCATAACTTTTACTGTTACATCATCAAACATTTATCCATTTCCCACCTGAAAATTATTATTGCCCTTTCAGGCAGCACAGCTCTAAATTTACAGTCTTTTCCCTGAATCATCTGAATTCCTTGTCCCCTCTGTTTTCCAACCCCACTGCTAGTGGGAGCTTTTCATCATGTTTATCTCAAAAAAACCACTCCCAAACAGACCCAAAACCTGCACTCTCCTCGCAAAGTATTTTCACATTCCTTTCCTGTTTTCAGTTTTAAAGCAATAATAATTCTTCAATGTGCTGCAATGCGTCACTGACACTCACTTCCTCTTCTACTGCTGTTCAGCGTTCTGTTGCTCACGTTGACCAATTTTTCCCTTGAATTTGCTCCTCACCCTTCCCTTTCTACTTCCTGTCTGTGTGGTCTCTGTCCAGCTTCATTGGCCTGCTCCGTGTATTAAAGCACAATGACAGGCCACTGCTGCTCAACACAGAACCAGCATGAAGCATGTAGCCCAGCTTTGCTGAACAGAGTGACTGCAACATGGCCTGACCTGATCAGATTTCTCCAGAAGTGACTGGAATCCAGATGGCCAAGGCCATTGTTCCTGCCACTAGCATTAATGAGGGCACTGGTCCATGCCAAGGAGTGGTGGTGACCTGTTAACTGTGTGCTGTGAAGTGTAAAAAGGGAGAGAGATACAGAATGGCAGGAAGAGAAAGAAACAACGAGAGAGAGATTGGGAAGACAGAGAGCAAGTGGCAGAGATCCGATCAAGAGATAAATAGTGTTGGAAGAACAGTCAGAAGATCAGATTAGAGAAAAGAAAATGGAGGTAGAGAGAGTGACAGAACAAAGAGAGAGAGAGAAGGGATTTAGAATTCTTTGGTAATTATTCAGTACAAATTGAATCTGGGATCCATCTCAGACAGAAATTTACTCTGTATCTAATCCTGTGCTGTCCTTTCCAGGGAGTATCTAAATCTACTGCAGTTAAAATTATGGAATGGTCACAGCAGAACAGGCCAGTCAGCCTACTGTGTCCTTGTTAACTCTCTGTCAGAGAAACTCACCTTTTCCCCACAGTTCTGAGAACCTTTTCACTTCTATTAACTTTCTGATTCTTTCTGTCTTGGTGACCTCAACTAAACTTGCCTCCACCAAACAGACCAGACTTGAGTCCCACAAGCTGATGCACAGAAAATGCATTACAATTATTGGAAGTGATTGCTGAACTGAGAAGTTATATCCTTCAGGATAGACCAAACAGGCTGAGTCCAAAGAAAAGGCTGAGGATGACCTTACACAGTTCTTTAAAATTATGGGGTTAAATAATGAACTAGTGAGTATTTCTGTACCCTTTGCAGTTCCTTAACTCTACCTGTTGGGAGTTGTGTACAAGCCTCCTAGCAGTAGTCAGAATGTGGGAAAGAAAATAAATCAGGAGATAGAAAAGGCATGTAAAAAAGGTGCCATTACAATAACCATGGGAAGGCTTCAACATGCAGGTGGACTGGGGAAAATCAGGTTTGTAGTGGCTCCCAAGAAAAGGAATTTGTGAAATGTCTGCAAGAGTTTTTTTGGAACAGGTACAGGCCACTAGGGAACAGGCAATTCTAGATCTGGTGATGTGTAGTGAGATAGACTTGGTTATGGAGCTTAAGATGAAAGCACCCTGAGGGACCAGTGACCATAATATAATGGAATTCACCCTGCAGTTTGTGAGGGAGAAGCTGGAATCAGACGTAACACTGTTACAATTGAGTAAAGGGAACTAGAAAGACATGAGGGAGGTGCTGGCCGGAGATTACTGGAAGGGGAGCCTCGCAGGGAAGAGAGTGAAGCAGCAATGGCAGGAGTTTTTGGGGATAATTCGGGAGGCACAGGAGAAATACATCCTAAGAAGAAACAAACTAAGGGAAGGACAAGTGAAGTCAGGGAAAATGAGGCTGGTGAAGCAGTAATGGGGAATAAAGATATGGCAGAGGAACTGAATAGGTATTTCGCATCACTCTTCACAGTGGCAGACACCAGCAGCATACCAGAACTTCATGAGAGTCAGGGGCAGAGGTGAAGTGGCCATCACTAAGGAGAAGGTGCTGAGAAAGCTGAAAGGTCTGAAGGTGGATAAGTCACCTGGACCAGTTGAACTACATCCCAGAGTTCTGAAGGGGATAGCTGAGGAGATTGTAAAGGCATTAATGATGATCTTTCAGGAATCTCTGGAGTCAGGGATGGTCCCAAAGGATTGGAAAATGACCCAATATAACACCCCTGTTTAAGAAGGGAGGAAAGCAGAAGATATAGGCTGGTTAGACAGACCTCCACCATTGGTAAGATTTTCCGAGTTCATTATTTAGGATGAGATTGTGGAGTACGTGGAAATGCACGATAAAATAGGGCTGCGTCAGCACGGCTTCGTCAAAGGGTCGTCATGCCTGACAAATCTGTTCGAATTCGTTGAGGAGGTAATCAGCAAATTAGACAAAGGAGAGCCAGTGGACGTGATCTATTTGAGTTTCCAGAAGGTCTTTGACAAGGTGCCGCACAGGAAGCTGCTAAATAAGAGAAGAGCCCATGAAGGTACTGACATGGATAGAGGATTGGCTGGCTGGCAGAAGACACACAATGGGGATAAAGGGATTTTTTCCAGGATGGCATCCAGTGGCTAATGGAGTTCCGCAGGTCCATGTTGAGACTGCAACTACTCACATTATACATTAAGGATCTGGACGAAGGAACTGAGGGTATTGTTGCTAATTTTGCAGATGACACAAATATATGTGGAGGGACAAGTAGTGTTGAGAAAGCAGGGAGGCTGTAGAAGCACTTGGATAGGCTAGGAGAGTGGCAAAGAAGTGGCAGATGGAATACAATGTGGGAAAATGTGAGGTTATGCACTTTGGTAGGGAGAACAGAGATGTAGAATATTTCTAAACACGGAAAAGCTTTAGAAATCTGAAGCACAAAGGGACTAGTTCAGGATTCTCTTAAAGTTAACATGCAAGTTCAGTTGGCAGTTAGGAAGTCAAATGAAATGTTAGCATTCATTTTGAGAAGGCTAGAACACAAGAGCAGGGATGTACTGCTCAGGCTGTATAAAGTTCTGGTCAGACCACATTTGGAACACTGTGAGCAGTTGTGGGCCTCAGCAATGAAAGACTTTCACATGAGGACTCAGTGTCTGTACTCGATGGAATTGAGAAGGATTTGGGGAGATTTGATTGAATCTTACAGAATACTGAGAGGCCTGGATAGAGTGGACATGGAGAAACTGTTTCCACTAGTAGGAGAGACTAGGAGCCTAAGGCACAGCCTCAGAGATAACCTTTTAGAATGGAGATGAAGAGGAATTTCTTCAGACTAATCTGGGGAACTCATTGCCACAGAGGGTTGTGGAGGCCAAGTCACTGAGTGTTTTTCCTTCAGAGTTGGACAGCTTCTCGATTAATAATGGGGATCAAAGGTTATTGGGAGAAAGCAGATGATTGGGATTGGGAAACATATCAGCCGTGATCGAATAGTGGTGCAGACTGGCTTAGTCATAGGAGACAGAGGGTAACAGTGGAAGGATGCTTTTCGGAATGGAGGGTTGTGACTAGTGGTGTTTCACAGGGATCAGTACTAGGACCTTTGCTGCTAGTGATCTACATAAATGATTTGGAGGAAAACATTGCTGGTCTAATAAGTAAGTTGGCAGATGACACAAAAATTGGTGGAGTTGCGGATAGTGAGGAGGATTGTCAGTGGATACAGCAGATATAGATCAATTGGAAGCATGGGCAGAAAAAATAGCAGATGGAGTTTAATCCAAACAAATGTGAGGTGATGCATTTTCAAAGGTCAAGTACAGGTGGAAATTATACAGTGAATGGCAGAATCCTTAGGTGTATTGATACGTAGAGGGATCTGGGTGTGCAGGTCCACAGAACACTGAAAGTGGCAGCGCAGGTAGATAAGGCAGTAAAAAAGGCCTTCACTGGAAGGGATAACAAGGTTCTATCTCTGAATCAATTTTAACCCCCCTTCATTGGAAAGGCATTGAGTATAAGGATAGACAAGTTATGCTGCAGCTTTATAGAACTTTAGTTAGGCCACACTTTGAATATTGCGTACAGTTCCGGTCATCAGACTACCAGAAGGATGTGGATGATTTGGAGAGGGTACAGAAAAGGTTTACCAGGATGTTGAGATAGTAAGAACTGCCGATGCTGGAGTCTGAGATAACAGAGTGTGGAGCTGGAGGAACACAGCAGGCCAGACAGCATCAGAGGAGCAGGAAAGCTGATGTTTCGGGTCGGGACCCTTCTTCAGAAATGGACCATTTCTGAAGAAGGGTCCCGACCCGAAACATCAACTTTATGCCTGGTATGGGGGATTTTAGCTATGAAGAAGGGTTGGATAGACTGGGTTTGTTTTCACTGGAACACAGGAGGTTGAGGGGTGACCTGACAGAAGTTTATAAGATTGTGAATGGCATGGATAGATTGGAAAGTATGAGGCTTTCTCCCACAGTGGAGGCTTCAATTACTTGGGGACACAGGTTCAAAGTCTGAGGAGGGGTGAGGTTTCAAAGTGACACGAAGCAAGTTTTTCACACAAAGGGAGGTGAGTGCCTGGAATGCTCTGCCAGAGGAGGTGGTGGAAGCAGACACAATAGCAGCATTCAAGAAACTCCTGATTGAATACATGGATAGGAAGGGAATAGAGGGATACAGATCCTGTAAGTGAACACAGTTTTAGTACGGAAGGGCAAAATGTGTTGGCGCAGGCTTGGAGGGCCAAAGGGCCTGTTCCTGTGCTGTATTGTTCTTTGTACTCGATGGGCCAAATGGCCTAATTGTGTACCCATATCTAATGGTCTTCTGGTCTAACTGGGAGGACTTTTTTTAAAATTGGCCCTGGGGTCAGTAACCAGGCCTGGTCAGCGGTCTTACCTTGCAGAGTGCTCCCATTACATGGTTCCAGCCGGTCACCATTTACCATCCTCCTGCAGGCCAGCTCCATGGGATCATTCTCAGCCTCAGCCAGCTCCAGTATCTGTGGCGTGTTTGGTGGGGTCAGTAGGCACGAGGGATCCAGTGCCAACTTCTTCTGGCCAATGTCCTGTTGCCCAGGGAGACTGTTCTGGAGCTCAAGGTTCTTCAGCTTTTGTGCCAGCTCTGCCTGGCAGGATCGAAGGCTACCTGGGGCATGGCTGTGGAACAGAGAACGGCCCATTTGTCGGTATTTCCCTTCACACACTGAGCTGGAGCGATGGCTGTTGTCCTGATTGGCACACTGCCCAGAATCATCTGCAGAACTGGGCATCTTCACACCTGCCCCAACTCCCACTCCAATTTCGGGAACTGTTCCTGCTCCAGCTCCCGGTGTTCCTGTTCCTGCTCCAGCTCCTGGTGTTCCTGTTCCTGTTCCTGCTCCTGGTGTTCCTGTTCCTGTTCCTGCTCTAGCTCCCAGTGTTCCTGTTCCTGCTCCAGCTCCAACTCCCGGTGTTCCTGTTCCTGCTCCAGCTCCCGGTGTTCCTGTTCCTGCTCCTGCTCCAACTCCCGGTGTTCCTGTTCCTGCTCCAGCTCCCGGTGTTCCTGTTCCTGTTCCTGCTCCAGCTCCTGGTGTTCCTGTTCTTGCCCCAGCTCCAACTCCCAGTGTTCCTGTTCCTGTTCCAGCTCCTGCTCCTACTCCTGTTCCAGCTTCCGCATTCTGAAACAGAAGGAAAGACATTACAAAGAGTTACAAATTCATCAGTTAAACCTCACTTTCTGGAACCAGTCCTTGAAATGTAACCCTTTCAGGATTACTGGTCTGACTGCTCAGTTATAGAGTCTGAAAGCACAAGCTCCAGATATCTGTCCATACACTCAAAAAGGGATCCTGTAAGAAATGTCAGGATCAGATGGGTGGTGGGAGATCTGCTGTAGGATCCTGTGGCCAAGAACTGACCTCATTCAGAAGAACAAAAGAGGCAGGAGCAGGATTAGGCCATTAGTCCTTCAAGCCTGTTCCACCATTCAATATGATCAAGACTGATCTCATCTTAGCCTCAAACTCCACTGTCCTGCTCTCCATAACTCTTTAGCTAATTACTAACCAAACCTCTGGGTAAATTTAAGGAGGAGATACAAAATGTCCCAGCATCCACTGCAAACTGGGGGAGTGAACTCCACAGGTTCACACTCCTTTGAGAGAAGCAATTTCTCCTCAATAATTAATTGATTTTGCCCTACAGTGCGGGTTTTCTCCCACTCAGATGAGTGCTTTAACTGAAGTCAGTTTTTGAGATGAGCACCAGTCATGTTTGGAATCTCACAGCTTCAGGCAGCCTGTAGGTCAGCTCCTTGCTGCTAACTCACTGACTGGGTGCTACAACGTGTGCTCAGGAATTTGATGGGTGAGGAAGAAAGGGGTCCCTCAGCATCAGCTATCACATTCTCTGGTGCTGAACGACCCACACAATCAGAAAGGGAAATCAAATCAACTCACAAAATGCATGGCATCAGCTTCAACGTTACACCTCTGACTATCCCAATCCAAAGTGATGACACATTAAAATGAATTGTATGAGACTTTTAAAAGATTTGGTATGTAGATCTCCATTAAATGCAAGGTTTAGTTGTCTCTTAATTCACGCCCAATCTCTGATCTCTCATTCCGTCTATCTCTGTCTCTCCCTCGTGTCTCAGCGTTTCTAACTGTCCTTGCCTGCAAGACCATAAGACGTAAGAACTGAGGTAAGGCCACTCAACCCATTGAGTCTACTCTGCCATTCAATAAGATCAAGGTTGATCTGAAAACCCTCAACTCCACTTTCCTGCCTTTTCCCCATAACCCTTGTTCCCTTCCTGGTTATAAATCTGTCTATTGTAGCTTTAAATATACTTATTTACCCAGCCTCGACAACCCTCTGCATTAAATAATTGCAGAAATTCACTACCCTCTGAGAGAAGAAACGTCTCCTCATCTCTGTCTTAAAAACGCAACAGCTAATTCTGAGATGATGTCCTCTGGTCCTAGACTCTCCGATAAGGGGAAACAACTTTCCTGCATCTACACTGTCTGGTCCCCTAAGAATCTTGTATGTTTCAATAAGGTCACCTCTCATTCTTCGATATTCAGGGCCAACTTACTCAACCACTCCTCATTAACCAGTCCCTCAATACTTAAGATCAGCCGAGTGAACCTTCTCCGAACTGCCTCCAATGCCAGTATATTATTCCGTAGATAAGGGGCACAAAACTGTTCACAGCATTCCAGCTATGACAATAACTAGTGTCTTGTGTCATTTTGCAAGACCTGCCTACTTTTACACATCATTCCCTCTGAAATATAAGCCAACATTCTATTTCCTTTCCTTATCACCCAATGAATTTGGAAATTAGCGTTTTGTGATTCAGGCACAAGGACTCCCAAATCCCTCTGTTCTGTAGCTTTCTGCCATTTTTCTCCACTTAACAAATATTCAGCTGCTCTATTCTTCCTGCTGAAGAGCATAATCTCACATTTCCTCACATTATATTTCATCTGCCAAGTTTTATCTGTCTATATCCCTCTGCAGACTCTTTGTGTCATCTTCAGCACTTGCCTTCCCACCTATTCTCCTGTCGTCTGCAAACCCAGCTATCGTACATTCACTTTTCTTAGAGCCATAGAGCTGTACAGCATGGAAACAGACCCTTCAGTCCAACTTGTCCATGCCAACCAGATATCCTAAACTGATCTAGTCCCATTTGCCAGCATTTGGCCCATATCCCTCTAAATGCTTCCCATTCATATACCCATCCAGATGCCTTTAAACTGTTGTAATTGTACCAGCCTCCACCACTTCCTCTGGCAGCTGGTCATTAATATATATTGTAAATAATTGTGATCTTAGCACTGTGCACTCCATTAGTTACAGGTTGCCATCCTGGAAATATCCCCCGATCCCAACTCTCTGTTGTCTTATTTGTTAGCCAATCCTCTATATCACCTCCAACACTATGGGCTCTAGCTTTATTAAATATTCTAATGTATGGCACCTTATCAAATGCCTCTGAAAATCCATATATATTCCATCCAAAGCTTTCCTTTTGGCTTGTTCTCTTTTTCTTCCCTGTGTCTCAGTCCACGCTCTCGGTCTCTCTCTCCCTGCGTCTCTCTTGCTCGTGAATCTTCCCTTATTACAACAATGGCTACACTTCATTAACTGCCAAGTACTTTGCAGTATCCTGTGGTTTGGAAGGTACTGCAGGAATTTGAGTCTATCTTTGTCTTTCTACACAACCAGGCAGCTCAGGGGACGGTGACTGGGGGTTCACCAGACCGATTCCTGGGATGGCAAGTTTGTTGTACAAGGAGAGACTGGGATGACTTTACTCACTGGAGTTTAGAAGAATGAGAAGGGATCTGAGTGGGAGGTATAAGATTCTGACGGAGCTGGACAGACTGGGTGCAGGGATGACATTTCCCCTGGCTGGGGCAGTGAGGAGGAGGGGTGTCCAGACAGTGTGTTATGGTTTAATTACGGAGTAGACCATTTCAAACTGAGTAGAGATAGTAGGAACTGCTGATGCTGGAGAATCTGAGATAACAAGGTTTAGAGCTGGATGAACACAGCAACCACGCATCAAAGGGTTTTTGAAGAAGGGTCCAGACCCAAAACGTCACCTTTCCTGCTCCTCTGATGCTGCCTGGCTTGCCGTGTTCATCCAGCTCTACACCTTGTTATCTCAAACTGAGTAGAAATCTCTTCCCTCAGACAGTGGTGAACCTGTGGAATTCTCTACCTCAGAGGGCTTTAGAGATTAAATCACTGAATATATTTTAGAAAGAAACAGATTTCTAGCAGGAAAGTTGTCAAAGAATATAGGGAAAGAGATGTATGGTTTTGTGACAGAGGATTAGCAATGATTATGTTGAATGATGCAGCAGGTTCAATTGTCCAATTGGCCTATCCCTCCTCCTTCTTTCTATGTTTCTGTGTAACTTTAATCCTGCATTTCACAGCCACACAACAAAGTTTTTCTCCAGCTCTCTTATTCTTATAATAGGAGCTTGTTTCAGATCTTGAATCTTATAGCTACTCACTAATTCTGTGGAGTCAGGGGCAGCAGGAATCCTGACAGTCTCCGTATTCTCAGCCTGGGTTATTGCTGAGAATGAACTGCGCTAACACAACATTCATTATTAAAGACACTCGTCATCCCTTACTCACTCTGCACCAAGTCCCTCCCCTGGGCACGGATTAACAGGAATCTGACCAATACAATCAATGTGTTCACTGACTGGTGCTCACAATCTCTCCTGTAAACCCACAAGTACATTATCATTCCTCGACTTGAAACCTCTTCCCGTAAAACTCTGCACTGAGTGGAGTTTTTGGCTTATCTCACTTGAGGTGCTACTTCTAATATTTTGTGAATCCAAACCCTAAATCCTTCCAGTGCCCAGAGTGTGAAGATTGCCCTATCCATTATGTGCAGATAGTCCTCAGGCTGCAGTAAGTATTCCTTTGAAACATACATGTTCAGTCTGTTCCAATACTGACGGTAATCTTTCAAATAAAACTGGCCAGTGTTCTCTCTGTCTGTGGCCAATGCCAGAGCAGTAGCACTGAGAACTTAGAGTCTGGAACACTGAAGTGAAGCTTGGAGCTTGTTCAGCTCATCTAGACCATCATGAAAGAAGGTGATGGAATTCCTGCTGATAGAGCAGTCCAGCTCCATGCCCTTATCCTACAGATCTGGAATGAACAGGAAGCCCTGAATGATCTTAAGGACATCATAATTGTGGCAGTCTTCAAACCAAAAGCGAATAAATTCAACAATGGAACTCATAGAGAGATCTCGCTGCTTGTCATTGCAGGAAAGAGCATTACAAGAACCCTCTGAACTGACTCAGAACACTTGCTAATGAATTCCTCCCTAATCTGTATGCCCTAGAACTTTGAAGAATAGTGGGGAGGAAGTAGAAGAGAGCACTTGTCAGCAAAAATTATGGAAATCTGCAGGCCAAGGGTGGCACGATGGCTCAGTGGTTAGCACTGCTGCCTCACACTGTCAGAGATCTGGGTTCGATTCCAGCCTTGGGTGACTGTCTGTGTAGAGTTTGCACATAAAAAGTGAAAGAACTGCAGATGCTGTAAATCAGGAACAAAAACAAAGTTGCTGGAAAAGCTCAGCAGATCTGGCAGCAGGGTCACCGGACCCGAAACATTAACTTTGATTTTTTCTTCACAGATGCTGCCAGACCTGCTGAGCTTTTCCAGCAACTTTGTTTTTGTTCTAGAGTTTGCACATTCTCCCTGTGTCTGTCTGGGCTTTCTTCGGGTGCTCTGTCTTCCTCCCACAGGCCAAAGATGTGCAGGTTAGGTGGATTGGCAATGGGAAATACAGGGTTATGAGGATAGGGTGGGGTCTGCCTGGGAAGTTCTTTGGAGGGACATGTGGACTCAGTGGGCCAAATGACCTGCTTCCAAACTGTAGAGATTGTATGCTTCTAAGTAGGATTGTGATAGTTAGTGATTTCAATAACCTAGGGTAGACTGGGGAAAAAGGTAGAGTGGGGCACGGAAGGGGAGAAATTCCTGCAATGTGTGCAGGAGAACCTTCTGGGGGCAGTGCATTTCCAGTCCTACCTGCGAGGAAGTTGTGCTGGATCTGGTCCTCGTGGAGGCCAAGTGGAGAACCTCAAGTGGGGGAGCATTTGGGAAATAGTGATCATTA